GGTGTGGTTTTTCACAGCAGAAAACATTCCTGATTCGTTAAGCTGCACTGCCAAATGGCCCAGAGGCACTGCCAGAGGGGGTTATGATTTCTGTTCTTTCAATGAACCAATCCAAAAAGGGGCCAGTTCTAGGTAAGCATTATTCTTCACAAGTTTTAAGGCAGAAATCTGAATTCATCTCTATTTGCTGGTCTAATGTCCTTGTGAAAGAAAAGACTGTTTCCAAGATCATAAAAGGAGCTCTATGAAGTTAGAGGGCTGCAGCTCTACATGTGATTTTCACACTGGCTGAAAGGCCAGTTCCAAATGTTTCTTGAAGAAAAATTCACACCTATTGATTGTGTTTGTAATCAAGGAGAAAAAAGAAGTGCCATCATATGCATATACGTAAGTGAATATGTAGGAAAACTGTATTTCTTATTCGTGGTAGTATACAGTTCCTTGGTTTCTTCCAAAAATGCTTCCTAGCAAAAAGGTACAAATCTCCATGGATTCTGGACTAAAATCAGGAGGACAAGGTTTCTTTACACAATACTGAGTGCACAGGCCCCAGGATGACTGAACATAAACTAGAAGAGCTTCAAACCTGGGTGACTGTTGTACCGGGATTACATAAGGAGCTTTGCAAATACACAGGTGCTGATGGGAGGGCAAGGCCAGTGACTTTGACCCTCAACAAAATGTGGTAAGTGTGAAGTCAAACTCCCAGAAAACCAAGCTTAAAGACAGGCAGCTCTGCACCTCAGCCTGTGGTCTACATACCGGGTACCCATTGAGAGGCTGAAAATACAGGTTGGTGTCTGTGATGCACACATGTCCAGGATTCGTCACCAGGGGCGTCACCATTTCTGCTTTGCATTCCATATGCAGCTTTTCAGAAACACTCTGGAATCTGAAAATGTTTTTTGAGAAAAAGTAAGAGAAATCAGAAACTGATCTGTTTTCTAGACTTAACTACAATTTAGCTGTGTGTGATATCTAACACTACATTTAATGCAACAAAAGTGGTACTATAAATTGGCTGCTTAAATAAGCTGACATTCTTTTAAGTTGGCAAAATGAAAACTTGATTTTTAAAAACAGAAGAGACAGTACACCACAGAAGCAAAGGCAGACAAATAAATGACATTAAAAAAAAAACCCTTTCACTGAACTCTTATTTATGCCAAAACAAATTTTCTTGAAACTGTTCTCACACTAATATAATTTGCTATTTTTGTGTCATTAAGACCTCTTTTTATTTATTTTTATTTATTTATTTTTTGGAACCAGGGATTGAACTCAGGACTTTGCACTTGCAAGGCAGGTGCAGTGCCACTGAGCTAAATCCCTGACCTCTTTTTATAGACATATAAACCATTTTGGCACAGTTGACATTTCACATTATTCTTTATCTGGCTACAATTACAGAATTACAATTACTTGAATTTCAGTTCAAAAGTGCATTTTTTTAGATACATTGAGGTAAAACCAATCAAAGATTCTCTCCGTACTAGCCATTCCTAAAATATTTAATCAACAAAGTCTATTACTCCTGTTTTACTAATTTTAAAAAATTGTGGAAAACAACCAAATAATATCATAAGGAAAACACAAGCAAATAACTGGGTGGAAAACAAATCCCCTCAGCTGAGGTATAGCTTAGTGACAGAGCACATGCTAGGCGTGTAATGAAGCCTAGGGTTCAGTCCTTTCACCGAAACCAACTAAATAAACTGGGCCGGGGATTTAGCTCAGTGGTTCCACTGCCTGCCTTGCAAGCGCAAGGACCCGAGTTCGATCCTCGCAACTAAATAAACTGAACAATCCCATAATATTTTTTAAATCCTCAGAAAACTGAGGATGCAAAGAAACCTCAATGACTTATCCACAAGAAAGAAAGAAACCAACAGTTGAATGGCAAGAGAAGGAACGCCCAATCATAGGAAGGGAGTAAGGGCTTTAGGAGAAGACAAAGAAAGCCACAGAAAGTGTTGTAGTCAGCAGGATTTGGTGAGGGAATACATTAAATACAGGACACATAACTTACAAGATTATTTTATGATAATTACCCAAAAAGTCAAACGCAAAGCAGCACAGGAGATTAACCGCGCAAGAGAAGCCCAGAGGATTCAGCTGAGGGCCTAGATCGCAGCAGTTTCCCACACAAGTCCAGCTAAAGGCTTAAAATCCAAGGCAATGTCCTCCTTGAGTCCAGCCAATGGCCTAGAGCCCACGGCAATGTCTCATGCTTGTCCATACTGAGGATCTGCACCAGGAAGACCCAAAGACCAGTGGTGGAAGCCAGAAAATCTACACTGGTGGGATGAAGGATTTGTGCCACCAAGCTGAGGGATCCACATTGGAGCCAGTAAGTGATGCTCCCAGTAAAGATCAGAGCTCCCTAGAGGAAAACAGCAGGCATTTCCAGTGACACAGAGGCCCCAAGCTCCTCCTCCAACGAGAACAGCCTAGTTCGAATCAGGAAAACCACCCACAGCAAGCTTCTAGAAAATCAACAGGCCAAGATCTTTCCCTCCAGTTCTCTTTTAATGGCTATGGGTAACAATCTTCAGGTGGATCTTCCATGCCCAGACCATGCTGATTCAGTTCAGCTGGGCATTACACGTTGACCATTAGTCAATCTACCACAGACAGGTTAGAGAACAAAGAATGCTCCTCACAGATGCAAAAGTGCTCTCAATTTGGGCAAAACCAAGAGAAATTTCCCACCATTCAGAAAGATGGTGGTTCAGCCCAAAGCACAGAGACATCTCCAGAATCCCTCAACTGTTCAGATTCTAAATCCTGCTGAAGAGCAAGTCTTGATCACTTCCTTAATAAAGTGACCTGAACTTAACCACAGCTGCAAAAGACCTTAGTACTCCACATTACAGATTCAGTGAACAGAACTCCCTGTACAAGCAGCCTGACAAGATATAGGAGAGGGCCTGGCACTTCTGGAGGTAAATATTTAGTTGTTTATACAGTCCGTTCTTAAACTGTCTAGCATACTATAAAATACTACAAGACACACACAAAAAAATCAAAATATGATCTATGCTACATAGAGGAAAGATCCCCCCAGCGCCAAGGACCAGAGCTGCCTGGGCTGCCAACAGCAGCCCCCACCAAGTGCCGAGGAGCCAATCTGGCACCTTCCCCCCATCTCACTGGGCCAAGCCAGTAACTGGATCCACACCACAGAGGTGCAGGGGGTGATAAAAGCCATTGTTCTGAGCTTCAGAAGATAGTGCACAAGTGAACAACAGAAAGAGGGCCTTTCTCAGGCTCCTAGATGAAAATTGAAGGCCACTGGAAAAGTGAAGAAAATCTCTGCAATAAAGGCACACCAGACCACCACAGTTGGTAAGCTGGGGGGATCATTCAGAACCTGGACTATCTTCAGGGGAAGGGCAGCTGGAACTTGCAGTAGAGCCTTGCAGAGTTCAACCCAGCAGGTGGACAGGGAGCTCAACTTGGGCCTTGCAGTCAGAAATCAGCCTGAATCTCAGGGGACTGCTGCTGGCTTGCTGAGACTCATTGACTTAGATCTGCACACTGCTGGTCACCTTGTCTATTGTGTCAGCAGAGACATACCCTGAAGGAGGCCCTTCATTTTTATTTTCAAAGGTTTTTTCTCTTATTTTTAATTTTTATTTTCTCTTTTCAAATTTTTTTCATTTTTCTTCTCTCTCTCTCTCTCCCTCCCTCCCATCGTGTTTTTCATCTCTCTTCCTTTTTGTTCCTGTCCTAATTCAGATTTCTTTTTTCTTTCTCTCCTTTTCCTTCTCTTGATTGTCATCAGTTTTAAAGGAAAGTGAATACAGTTTCTAGCTTCCCTATTGCTATTAGGTTGTTCTGTTCTTGTCTTTGTTCTTTTGTTCTGTCTTTTCCTTTTGTCTTCAACAGTTTCCTAGAGTTTGCATGATCTTCCCATGTCCTCTGGCCTCACTGCTAACCTTCCCCTATCCTTCTACCCATCTATCCCTCTGACCCTAACTCCTTCTAAGTCTCCATCCCGAAGGGTAAAGTTGCTATATTGAAGAGTTTGTTCACTATAAACATATTTTGGGCTGGTCCACAATTTTGATTTAACTCACACAGGTAAATATGTGATAGATAGTAATCTACCACAAATTGTCATTTTCTAAGCTGCGTTTGATGCTACTGTTGCTGCTGATTGTATCACTTGGGCTAAAGTGTTGTGATTAATCTAATCAGTTATCCTTCCTGGTATAATGAAAATGAGATAGCCCCAGAGTCATTAGAGACTCAACACCTAAAGACCAGCTATATGTGGAAGACATCTCTGAAAACCAATCATTCCATAGGGTTCTAAATACGAGCAACAAAGATACTTCAATAAGCAATACTGAAGTATCAACCCAGGAATTAAATAAAAAACAGTACCAACAACAGAAATAGAAATGAAAAGACATTTAAGCAAAGTGCAAACCCAGACTTCCAACTCACCAAAGGCAAATTCTGGGGAAAAAAACAAGATGAAAAAATCTGATAATCAACCATGTGGACACCCTGAACTGAAAGCACAAGAAGTAACAAAACAGATGAATGAGCCTCTAGAAAAATTCAAAACAGAAATAATTTCCCAGATAACTACAGAGATGGTGAGCAGAGTGAAAGACATGATTAGAGACTCTAGAACAGAAACAGATAAAAAAAAAAAA